TTCAAGCTCCATTTCTTTGCTCCTGCATGCAAGGAACCCAGAGTGAACAAGCTTAATGAACTGTATTTCCTTTCTCCATTTTGCTGTTCTACTTCTTCAGTAGACATGTAGGGTAGAAGGTGACTGTAATTAAACATTCCATTGGCATTGTATTTCTTAAAGTGCATGCGAGGAAATTGGGCAGCAAATTTCTCCCCAAAATAATGTGCAAATCAATGATGTAGGCAATTGGAACAGTGGCTTAGACACCGATTGGCAGTGCCTGGTTTTGCTTCCCAGCTCCTCTCCTTCTGATCCAGCTTCCTGCTAATGTGCATCCTGGGAGAAAGATGACAGCTCAAGTATTTTGGTCCCTGCCACTTCTGTGGGAGACCCAGATGGAGTCCCTGGCTCCTGGCCCAGCCCTAGCTATTGTGGGCATTTGGGGAGTGTACCAGCTAATGGAAGATCTCTCTCTCTCTCTCTCTCTGCTATTCAAATGAAGTGAAACTACATAAATTTTAAAAATAAAAATATTGTGCAAAACCCTTTAGAAATCACCAGATGAGTTCACTCTGAGGTTGGACTGGTCTGGTTATTATGTGCACTTTCAATACTATGTACATAAGTGGTTATTTATTTCTGAAGAGGACTTGTGGACTGTGGGGTGAAGTATTTCTCTGTAGATGGAGGAGGAAGTGAGAGGAAGATCGTGAGACTTGGTTATGGGTGCCCTCATCTTTGGTGCTCAGAGCTCTGTGGTGGTTACTGTGCTTCCCTTCCATGCCCCTCTCCATTCTGGGTTTTCGCCTGGCCTTTGGGACAGCTGTTTGTAATTCTATGAGCAGTTCAATTCTGGATGAATTAACGCATCGCTCTGTCTGCTTGTCATTGTGGGGGCCTCCTCAAGTTTCCCATGTGATGGGGGAACAAACAGTCTGGTCTCTGTAGAGGACTGGCCTTTCTGTTCAGGTTGGAATTATTTTCAGAAAGCTTCTATAGAATCTAAAGTGTCCTCAGTCAGCAGGATTTATGTAAAGGGGTATGTGGTGTGCTTTCCCCAGACAAAGCCTAAGAAATGTTCTTGAGAATCCCACGGCTTGGGAGAAGCTTCATTCTGTGGGCAGGTCTGCTCTGTGCACCTGCTGCTGTGGCAAGGTTTCTGTGGGATGCTGAATGCATGCGTCTCTGGTGGCCATTTGCTCTTGAACATGAGTTTCAACCAGGAGAGGCCCCAGCTATATTAGAGTGAGCTGGTTTAGCAGCCAAAAGGATGCAGAGTGATCAGTTTAATCAATACCTTATCTTGATTGTCAGTTGTAAAAGGCTTAAAAATAATGCAACAAAATACTGAGCTCTGAAGTAACATTGAATGTCATTTCACCTTGGCTCAATTCAGAAGGTCCTTAGGATTTCCTTGTCCTAGGGGAAATAGCTAATAAGATTATAGACCTAGAATGTCTCATACACTAGTTTATTTTTCTGGTTAGGCAGGGAACCAGGCAAGTGGAAAGGCCATGAAATCCTCCTTGCCCACGAGAGAGAGAAGAGCCTTAGGCAGGGTGTGATATTAATACTTATCATCACCTGCTGTTGTTAAATGTCCAACAAACATTTTGGTTGTGAACCATAGGATCAGTCAAGAGTCCTGTTTACCTGTTTTGAGCCCAAACCTTGTAGCACTCAGTTCTGTGGTGCACTTTGAGGTGCTCAGTGCATCACACGGCTACTGTTTTGTGGACAAGGCCCAGGGTTTTCACAAAAGGTCTTCTAGGCATGTGTCTCACCTTGGTCCATCTGGCTCATGGAGCTGCAATTGTCTCAGAGTTCACTGTTCTCCAGAAGGAGGCAAAGGGAGCAGATCTGATTCCGTAGCCTCTCACACCCTGTGGCTGCAGGGCTCACCACATACCACGTGGCTCCAGTCTCCTGTGCCAGCGCCAGCTTCCCTTGTGGACTTCCAGGCTCTCCTTCAGGGACTTAAGAACAGCATGGTAATGCATTCTGCTAGGAGCTTTCTCTTCCTTGACAAGCCTGTAGGACACACAGCCCTGACCTCTATGGCATCTTGTCCATCAGTCCTGTTTGAACCAGCATTCCTTCCACAGAGCATGGCACCAGGCATCCTGGACAGTTATGGAAGGGGGTTCTATGCTCCTGGACTTTGAGCATCTTACCAACTTGTAGGCCTGACAGAACGAGCACACAGCAGTGACAGCACCTCTCATCCCCAAACGCCCAGCTGGGTGCCTGAACGAGGTGGTCTCCGAGATACCATAAGGCTTCCTTCACCATCCGAGATGGTAGCCACTGGACACATGGGGTGAGTTAAGCTTAATGAAAAGCAAGAAAAATTTAAAATTCAGCTGCTTGGCCTCCATGGCTCCTTTTCTGTACTCACTAAATGCGATGAGTGACTGTCATGTTAAGCAGCACAGATCATTCGCTTCATCGCAGAAGTTCTGTGATGGATTCATGGTGATTGAGGATGTGACTCAAAACCTAGTGTCCAAACCTCGCTCTGCACCTGGCTGTGCATGGCAGGTCACTTAACCCAGTCTCTGTGCCTCAGTTGTTGTATCTGTCAGACAGCGATGGTGTTCAGGTGAGGATTTAATGAGGTATAGTTTATAAAGTTATTAGTGTGGGACCTGGCACATTGTAAATTCTTAATATGTGTTACCAGGGAAAAAAAGTCTTTTAGCACTAACATATTATGTTGCTGCCATCTCTGTTTTCTCCCTGATGTGTGCATTTGAGGACCCTGAGGAGGAGCTTGAAGAAGGGGGAGGAAGTTCTTTGTAATTTATGTTTGGAGAACTGCATGGTGGCTTGGATCCTGCATTAACTCACAAGAGTATTTTTATTTAGCATTCCTTTCTACAACGCATAACCTGCCCTAGAGCCTGATCTACACACTTAACACACATTCCCTCATTTCATCTTCCAAACACGTATGGGTGATAAGTATCCTGTCCTCTCATTTTCGGTACCCTCCATATTTTTATACCCTGCATATTTTGTGGCACCTGTTTCCCTGGTTACAGAAGCAGACAGACAGATTGAGCTCCCAGCCACTGGATCACTCCTCAAATGCCTGCAGTGCTTGGGACTGGGCTGGGACTGCAGCCAAGAGCAGAGAATGCAATTCAGGTCTCCAGTGGGGATGGCAGAGACCCAATTATGTGAGCCATTACCACTGCCTTCCAGGGTCTGCATCAGCAAGAAGCTGGAGTCAGAGCCAGGAATCTAAACCAGGCACTCAGATATGAGGCACAGTCTTCTTAACCACTGGGATAAATGCCTGCTCCTGTGACTTATCCTGATAGATTATTCAAGTTCTTCACAAGTGGGGAGGGGAAGACAAAGCTGCAAGAATATGATTTTTTTCCCTTAAGGAAGAGAGTAGAAAAACAACTGTAGAGAATATATTATCTCAGTTTAGATATTTTATGTACATAATCTGGTTTAATGCAGTAACACTCTAAGATAGGTGATATTCTCCCCATTTTATACATGGGGAAACAAGCTATGTTGGTTTAATAACTAGCACAGCATTTCACAGCTAGTTGATGGTAAAAACCAGGATTCTGGGGCTGGCATTGTGACATAGTGGGTAAGGATACTGCCTTTGATGCCAGCTTCTCGTATGGGTATGGTTGAAGTCATGGCTGCTCCACTTCTGATCCAGCTTCTTACTAAGGGCCTGAGAAAGGCAGAGGAAGATGTCTCAAGTGCCTGAGTCCCTGCAGTTTACATGAGAGTCGGAGAAAACTCCGGACTCCTGGCCTTGTCCTGGCCTAGCCCTGGCTGTTGCGGCCATCTAGGGAGTGAACCAGTGGATGGAAGAGCTCGCTAGTTTGCTCTCTGTCTCTCCCTCCTCATTTCCCACTCTCTGTAACTCTGAGTTTCAAATAAATAAATAAATCTTAAAAAAAATAGAATTCTAACCCCACCTAACTCAAAATCTTATGTACTTTTCAACATGTCTTAATGCCTGTTAATAGGAAAGACAACATATTTTCATATTGAAATATTAAGCATAAACAAAAAAGTGGAGATAAATCATCTATGGGTCAAGAGGAAGAAACCACTCTTAGCCAAAGGGTCATGAGAAGCTTTATCGAAGAGAGAACATTTGAAATGGGACTTGAGATTGAGTAAGATGTGGGCCAATGGGATTTGGGGAAGGGACTTCTGGGCAGAGGGGAGCACATAGCAAGGGCTTTGGTAGCATCAGGATACCAGGAGAAGTAAGCAGTGAGGGGCCAAGGAGGGCATCTGCCTGTGTGGGGACAAGACTTTGTCACCTGCATTGCTTAGAATTGCCAGTGTTTGGTGACAGTGAAAAGCAGACTGACTTTTAGATTCATCATTATTATTTAATTCTCAATGGTTAATGAGCCTGTTTTATTACATGTATTCAAGACAGACCACTGCCACCAGCCTCTGACCTTTGGTCTACAACTGGTAGTTTGGATTGCTTGGACACATTGCTTTTGTATGCTTTTCTCGCCCTGTCTCTCTTGGAAGCGCTCCTACTTGATTCCCAGCCTCTGTTCTTCACTGTGCTCCCTGCCCTGTGTGTTCTGGGGAAGTAGTTCTGCGAGAGACAAAGTGGTAGCACTGGGCTTTCCATGAACTTGGGGAAGAAGGGTCACAAGTGAAGCCAGGTGTCTCTCACCCTCCAGGTGTGCAGTTCTGCCCCAGGCAGGAAACCTGGCTAGGGTTGAAACTCCCTGGGGGCTGGAGGATGCCTGTGAATCAGCAAGCAATGCTAGGTTGAACCAAAGGGCATGGACCGTGGGACTGGAGGAATCATCTTAGAGCTTTTTGTCACATGGATGGGAAGTGGAATGGGCTCACCCGATCATTGAAACCACTAAAATGAAGACCGTGTGGTGGTATACACCCTACCCTATCCCTATCCCTATCGACTTTCCCTGGCTACCACCCTCGGGTACAGGAACAAGGAGGACCTCCCGCTAATTTTCAACTGCGTTTTGCTCTCTGTTATATAGTATTTCAGTGACAGGATCCGCTCGGGAGAATTGGGGCCGGGCTGGATAAGGTTCTCAAGGAGCTGAGTTTTGAGTTCAGGTGCCCGCATGGCAGTGGAACAGTGCCTCCTGACCTTTCAGAACTTTGAGACCTCTGGGCGGTCTTAGAATCACCTCAAGCCTCCAGTCCAGGATACGCCTGCCTAGGGGAGTTCCAGGGACAGGTGGCAGGTAGAGTATCCTTTCTGAGTTTTATTCTCTCTTGTCCTCCCTTCCCTCCTTTCTGTATGTCCGTGTTGCTCTGTTGTGTCTCCTCAAGATTCCATGGGCCATTGATGCTGGGGTATTTATTTTATGTTCTTGTCAACAGACATCACAGCCTGCGAGGCGATGGGTACCGCAATGAGCTCACCACAAATCTCCAAGACTCCAAGCCACTCTCTGTTCCCAAGCATAAAGCTATGCTTCTGGAGGGGCAGCAAGAAACAACCTGGGACCAGGTGAGGACCCATGCACGTCCCTGTCCTCCTCCACCCCATCACTCTTTAGCTGTCTGTTTTTTTTCCCCTTGGTTGATGGAACTTTCTATGCGTGTCCTCCCACAGGCTCCACTTCTTGGCAAGAGGACAGAGCATCTTCTCGGGTGTCCAGGGGGCTGCTGAGGGATCCTGAGGAAGATGTGCTGGTCTGTGGGACAGAAAGGCAGCAGAAGAGCCCGCAAGTGCTGGAGCAGAACTCAAGCCGTGTCACTCACTGCAGACTCAAGTGTGCTGTGCTACAGCTCTGGATTGGACTCTTTTCCTTTGCCATCACCCACGTAACACATGGTTCTGGATGCTTTGGACTGGTTGGCTTTGTTTTTCTTTCTTGTCTTTTCCTTTTCTTGGCCCTTGGAAATATATAAAAAAAGAATTGCTTGAAAAAACTGTAATTCTTTGCCAAAATTAGCTTCATTTATGAACAAATTCTAATCCTAGTGATTTTCTGAAAAGGAATCCCAGGCTGCCAAGTAAATGAGGCTGTGGGGTTTGATTTGTCCAGTACTGATCCTTACATCAAAAATACATTTTTATTATTTTTTTTTTAATTTGGATACAGGTAATGGCCCGAGTTACATTTGCTTAACTACTGAAGTGACCTCAATGTGTTATCACTTAGAGTTGAAACACAATCAAACACACATTATCCTTGGAGCTCTTGCATGCTATTTGATATACAGGTAGCACTACAAAGAAACACAGCCCTTACTGGTTGAAATTTAATTTCTGTTTGATCCTGCAGTAGAATGGTAGAGATTATAAATTTCATACATGACTTTAAAATGCCTTCAGTGTAGGCTGGTCAATAGTGAGTAGTTTTGAAATGCCATTTTCTAAGGCAAAGCAGGAATTGGAGATCAACTGACCTCGTCAGCAGTGTTGCTCAGGTCAGTGTGGGGAGCTTCTCTTTTGGAGAAGTTGAAGAACAAGTTGCTTGTGTGGCTTGGTTTATGGAAACTGTAGTATTTCTGACTGTTTTGTAATTTTGCTGCCTTGGAATAAAACACCTTCCGTTAACTCAGCAACAAGGACTCTGTTGATTTCCTGCAACACTGTGTTCTTCATGGCTTTGTAAAAGTCCAGTGTGGACTTCTGAGTGACTGAGCTGCTAGAAGCCTCAGCTGCATCCAGAACTGTTGCTCTTTCAGAAGTGGCACAACAGCTGTGTGCTGTCCACACGGGGGCTGGAGGTCATGTGTTCAGCTTGCCGTCATCTTATGGTCAGCTCTAGAAATCTTTAATCATCTGTTAGGCAGATGTGTTGCCACTTGTCTTCCTACTCTGATTCTAGAGACCCTACTTATGAGACTGTAGATCAAGCCACACTCTCTGAACCTCAGTTTCCTCTTAGACAAAATGAAAATAATGATACTTCCTCTAATTATGGTGATAAGTGCCTCTAAAAATCATCGCATGGGTGGGACTTCAGACCTTGGAAACACAATGGGATTTGGCAGTGTTTGATAAATGGTAGTTACTTAGTCAGTGAAGAATGAACTTTGTAATTCCTTAAGGTTGGTCTTTGAGAACACTGAATAACCTCTGATGACCCCCTTGCTTAAAGTCATTGGAAAGAAATGTGAAGATGCGTGGGACAGAAGTCAGGAGCAGAGAGTCTGCTGCTCTGTGCCTTGGCCAGATAACCAAATCCTTTAATCCTGAATGTCTTCTTCTGTGAGGGAGAGAAGACATCTTCCTTCCCTCCTTCATAGACATGGCACTATCCCTTGCACAAAAGGGTTTGCAGTATCCGTAAAGAGAAGAGGCAACATGTTTCCCAATTGTTGGCAACATCAAGGCTGTGCCATTCAAAGGCAGGTGAGTCTCCCTCTAAATATTAACAGGGAGGTCTCATTCACTGTAGGGAAACATTCAACCTATTAAAGACCTCATAAGACGGTATTTATCACTTTAGTAGAAAGTGCTTTAGAGAAACCTTCACCCTCTCCAGTACCACACCTGAGATTTTTGGGTAGCCAAAATATAAAGCAAGGTCAAGAGTAAGATAGTTCATGCTGGTTAGCCAGCAAATGAAATAGATTTTCTCCAATCAAATGGTATGTGTTATAGGCCCATAGAGATTAGCCCAGAATTTTAAATCATGTGTAATATTTTCTTCTTTCCATGTGGAAGTCATTAAAATGAAAATAACAATTGCAATAGCAAGTGAACAATTATTGTGTGCTCACTATATGCTGAGCACTAAGTATTTGTAAGCAATGGCTCAGTTACTCATCACAGTGGTCATGTGAGGTAGATACTCTCATTACGCCCATTACCTGAATGAGAAACTGACAAAATGAAGGACTAAGTAACTGAACTAGACCACCTAGTTGTCTGCCTGGTTGTAGACATGGGCTCTTTACCACCTGGAATCCAGTCCCTGTCTGATGATTCATTGGCTCATAACTTTGCACCTCACCTTTGGAACCACATTGTCCTTATTCATAATTTGGGTCTTATAATTATTGTACTTTCATACATGTTTTCCTCAGTTATGGTCTAAGCTCTTAGAAGATGTATGCAAGCCAGATGGAAATCAATATGAAAATAAACATTTTTGAAAATATTATGTTTTTAAGTTAAAGAAAGAAAGCACTTCTGGATGGGGTCCATGTTGAGTCTACCTTTTTCTGAATTCTCTCCATTTTAGAAGTTGAAGGTTTTACAGCATCTTATTCAATAGAAGTCCTAATTGTTGGCAATGTAAACTCAAGAAGGGTGAAGGAGAGAGAGCACCAGACAAAAGAAGGAGCAGTGTTAGATTCATTCACGTCAGACTGACAGAAGCTCTTCCTAGACCCCTCCCATTAGAAAGACAGAGGATGGCTGGAGGGTCCTCTGGAGATTAAAGCAGGCAGTGGTAGCCAATGCAGTTGGCACATTATTCAGATTCCTAGGGCTTTCTCTGTTTGGGGAGCCTTTGTACATCACAATGGGGAAGTGCTAGGACATTCATGCCTCTCCCCAGTAGCCCTCAATCAGTAACTGAAGAGAGCTAGGATATAAAAACCACATGTCCCTCATGCCTTGGGTCAAGGCAAGGTCTAAATTGACACTAAGTCCCCTTGCAAGATGGCACTCCATTTCTCCAGGATGGTAACTGATTTGCAAATCCAGTTTTGTTGACTACATTTCTTTGCCTGTCTTAGGGTCTTATTTCTCAACCAGTTTTAGCTAGGATCACCTGTCAGATTAGTTAATTTGCAAATAAATTCCCATATTGGCATCTTTTCAAAAATTTCAAGACTCAAAACTCTGATGCTGGTCAAATGTAACAATAATAATGCTCCAGAAAAAATGCAGCAGTACCACTCAAGAGTAAATAGGTTCTCCCTTTGTTCTGCTGTGTTAGGAGCAGGAAAGGGAGTCTGATGAACCCGAGACTGGTGCCCACAGTACCATTTCCTTCCTATGAAACAAGTACCTCCACAAGTTCTGAAATATTTTCCCTTTAGATGAAAGACTCAACCAACATTCAAGATCAGGGAAGAATCACCTGATGGCAAATCAAATTACAAATCACCGGCTAGAACAAGTAGTTAAATCTAAGGGGGTAATGGGAAAAGGAGAGAGTCACAAACCCAAGCCCCTTCTCACCTCTCAAGGACTTCTATTTGCCTTTGAATCACTTCTGCTTCAATTAACATTGATTGGACCTGCCTCAAGTGCCTGGCTCTTGTCAAATTCCATTACAGGAGCCTCCAAGATACTATCAGTCTGCGAGCCTTTGTTGTGCTAGACTTCTTTGTGGGAATATCAGATATTGTGGGGAGTAGCTAACACATTGATGGGGTTCTCTTACAAGACGCTTGTTTTTGTTGTTGTTTTTTTGGGGGGGGGCATGCAGATTTGTAAACAGGATTTTATTTTTGCCATCACCATTATCAACTCAAACCAATTCTGTAGGTCCAAGTTATGATGCTCTAAAAACTATGCCAGGCTGACCAATACTGCTTTTAAAGATAAACACTGACAGTGTCAATCCTTTAAAGTAAGAAAATGTGACAGAATCTTTGTTATAACCATCACACACTCAATTACTTTTCTTCAGTTGGGAAGAGACATGCAAAGAAACATGTTTCTCCATGGGTTTTTGAGCAAAGGATTAGAGTTTTATTTTCCTGGAGATGTAAATGAAATAACAGTATCTATCACTCTGCTGTTTCTTCTCCTAACTCTTTGCTAAGGTCTTGGAGGGTGGCTACATTTTATGCATTTTGTTTTGGTTTTTATGTGAAGCTAATTTTAATTTATCCCATATAATGTAACTATTCATTATCATTGCTGGAATATTAATGTTCTCTATTATTAGGCACTTAGCAATCACTGTATTGTATTATCTTTGGCCATGGGATACAGTACTATTTTTTAAAATCTGAAAGATTATTTTCCCCCAGAAACCTTTTAAGGAATACAAACTTCATGCATTTCATAAATACAACTTTAGGAACATAGTGATTCTTCCCACTGTACCTGCCCTCTGATCCACTATCCATTTCTGCTAGATTTCCGTTTGTTGGCATGCAACTCTTTGTAGTTATTTCTGATGACTCTTTTCATTTCTGTGGTGTTGGTTGTTACATTTCCTTTTTCATTTCTAATTTTACTAATTTGGGCCTTCTTTTTTTGGTGAGTTGGGCCAATGGTGTATCAATTTTGTTTATTTTTTCAAAAAAAACTCTTCATTTTGCTGATATTTTGTATTTTTTATTTCAATCTTTTTTATTTCTCCTCTAATTTTAGTTATTTCTTTTCTCCTACTAGTTTTGGGTTTGGTTTGCTGTTGTTTTTCTAGGTCCTTGAGATGCACTGATAGTTCATTTATTTAGTGCCTTTCCAATTTCTTGATATAGGCATCAATGCTATAAACTTCCCTCTTAACACTGCTTTTGCTGTATTCCATAAACTTCGATATGTTGTATTGTCATCTTCATTTGCTTTCAGAAATATTTTTATTTATCTTTTGATTTCTTTTGTGACCCACTGTTCATTCAAGAACATGTTGTTGAGACTCCATGTGTTTGCATATGATCTAGAGATTCTCGCGTTGTTGATTTGAGCTTCATTCCATTGTGGTCAGAGCAGGTGCATGGTATGATTTTCAGTTTTTTGAATTTGCTGAGACTTGCTTTATGGTCTAACATGTGGTCTATCCTAGAAAAACTCTCATGCACTAGTGAGAAGAATGTGTATTTTGCACCTTTAGGATGAGCACTTCTGTAGATATCCATTAGGTCCATTTGATCTATAGTGTCGAGTAACTGTTGTTTCCTTGCTGATTTTCTGTCTGGTTGATCTGTCCATTGCTGAATGTATGGTCTTGAAGTCCCCCATTAGTACTGCATTGGAGTCTATGTCTCCTTTAGATCAATTAACATTTCTTTTAATAGCCAAGTACCCTATAATTAGGTGTATATACACTTATAATAGTCACATCTTCCTGTTGAATTGATCCCCTAGTTTTACATAGTGCCCTTCTTTGTCTCTTTTAGCAGTTTTTGTGTTAAAATCTATTTTGTCTTATATTAGAATGGCTACACCAGCTCTTTTTTGGTTTCTGTTGGGATGGACTATCTTTTTTCCATCCTTTCACTTTCAGTGTGAATGCATCTTTGTTGTTACGATGTGTTTCTGATAGGCAGCAAATAGATGGGTCTTGTATTGTAATCCATTCAGGTTGTCTGTATTTTCTAACTGGAGTGTTGTGGCCATTTAAATTCAAGGTGACTATTGATATGTAATGACTTGGCCCTGCCATTTTCCCATAAATATTCCTATTGTTTACTTTGGGTTTCCTTTGTAATTTAACCAGGAGATTTTTTGCCTTTACCTTCTTTCGTACTGATGATCATGTTCCTATGTGTAGCACTTCCTTAAGCATCTTATGTAAGGCTGGATGAGTGGTGACAAATTCTTTCAATTTCTGTTTGTTATGGAAGGTCTTTATTTCACCTTCATTTATAAGTGAGAGCTTTGCAAGGTACCTTATTCTGGGTTTACAGTTTTTTTTTTTT